CATTAATAACAAAATCTTCTCTGTATATATGAATTTATCCTGAAGTTATTAGATCTGTTTTGAAGAATTATAGCTGTCAATGTTCAATTTGCCTACGATTCAGCAAGTTAACATGGGAAAAGAAATCGATTTTTCTAAATTAGGCACAGTTGTTCTAGCACTTTGGTTAAATGTGAACACTTAAAAAGATTACTAGATTGATGTATTAATTTTATACATACTACAGAAAAATATATTTTTTTCTCCCCACAATTTAAGGAAAAACACTCTTCTTATAAACATACTACCAGGGATATAAAGATGGAGACATTACTAGCCAAGTCCCTTGTTCTACCTGTCCCACAGTAGTTGTGCAGATTATTTCTGCTAAAGCAATAAAGCAGAATTCCCTGTTAGTTAAAAGACACAGGAGCAGAAAGTGCCATAAAAGAAACCATATTCTATCAGAAAGCCAAATGCATAAGAAATATTTCTTTGGTAGCAAACATCTCTGAAGTCAAAAGGTGCACACTTAAGTTCTGATAATGACGCGAATGGAAGCCTGAAATGTTTTAGCGGCCACGAAGCCGCAACGGGAGAGTGAGTGTATTTCTCTACTTGGCTTTTCAAATCTCTAACAACTTGACGGTTACAAATGTGTCAAGTAGAAGCATTAAAGCAAAGATTAAGTGAATGGTCACTTAAAATTATCAATGCCAACCAGTCCTGTGCTTAAATTGCTTGAGTTTAATCACAAAATGAAACATTATTTACTGATAAAGTTTAGAGGAATATAATCCAAAAAATGTCTGGAGGACGACTCTACCAACTTACTAAGCAGAGGTCCAGATTACTAACCAATCATTATTTTAAAAAGGAATTTGCTTTTCATCCATTAGCAAGACTCACAGCAGCTCAGAAAGACTTGACTGACTGAAACAAATGACAGCACCTTAAGTATTCAAAGGGGGAGATTTGAGTGTTACCTCTATGCTCTCAGACAGGATAACCAAGCATATGCCTTTGAATATAATAAGTAATATTTTAACTCAGGCAAACACTTCTTTAGCATTAGCTGTTGGTCAAAAATTTGACTTTTATTATTAATACCTCATGACACAAATGATACACAGAGGAATAACTGATGACCCTTTATTGGTATTAAATGTAATCATTTAGAAGTATTCTCTAACTTATGACAGACGTTTTCTTCTTGAGGGATCAGAGGATAGTTTCATTATATTAAAGGGATTTTCCTTACCAAATATATTATTTCTAAACTGTCACTTTTAATAATAACAGCAGATACAGAGAGCGCTGACTATATGCCAGGCACTATTCCAAGTAACTTACATTATGAACTCCTTTTATCCTCTAACAACCCAAGAAATATTATGCCTTTTTAATACACGAGAGAAGAGCGCTAGGAGGTGAGTCTGCCAAGTGCCATACAAACTACTCAGCAGCCGCGGAACGAGTTAGGCGAGGAGCGCAAACGCAGGCAGTCTGTCTGGAGTTTGTGCTCTTAACACTTTTCTTTAGTTTGTTTAGCATATTAGTTTGATCTCCTGTTTTCTAATTTTTTTAAAGCAGCCAACCTGCTTGGTGGCTAAAATCCAAATGGCGCAAAATATCCACTATCTTATTTAAATCACTTTCTAACAGGTTTAAGGAGTTTTACATTTTTCTCTGTTAATAAGAGCAGATACAAATCTGTCAGTCACGCCTTGTATCATTTAGAGAGTGTAAATCAGCCCCTATAAGAAAAGTAACACCATATTAGGAGTTGTCTCTCAGACAGTCTAAGTGCTTCATCTATACACTAAGTTATTTTTTGCTGCATTTGGCCTACGTATTTAGTTCTTGCGTTTGAAAATGAATATTCAAACCATCCCAAGGGCTTTCCCTCCAGAGCCGCATCCAGCTGGTTCCCCAGGACTGGGGAAGACAAGGGGGAGGAAGAGGCCGTTTGAGAGGGGCAGTCACTCCAGGCAGGCACCCGTGAATGGGAACACACCACACACATAACAAATTATACCCCCAATTTATATACATGCTATGAGATGCTCCTTTTGAGAAAACTTGTAAAAGCTTGAACCATGTATTCAGTTTTTCCATAGGTGTGTATTAAATACCTTCCATGTATCTTCATTTAGAAGAAATGTAAGTTGAGGAAATTTATCTCAAGGAGGGTATGATGTAACGATGAAGTCAGACAGAACAGAAGCACCCCCACTGAAGCAAGAGTGACATAGTGGGAAGAACAGACTAAGAGGCAGCCCCTTATTTACTAGCTGGGGAACTTTAGGGACATTATTTAAACTCTATGAAGATCATTTTTCTCACCTTTAAAATGAAAAGGGCAACATTTTGAAGTTTGGGAAGATTAAATAACTTTACCTAAAGGGCCTCCTATCAATGCCTGGTACCCAGTGGGTGCTCAGTGGTCAGTTATTATTTTAATAGCAATTAATAAACATGAGTGTAGAAAAACAGTGAAAGAACTATAATGTAAAAAAGGAGAGAAAAATGCGTTAAAGAAAAAAAAGTATGATCAATTCCTACAAAGAGAAGGTGAGCATGAGCTATAGCCTCAAGGACCAGGAAGGAGCGGGGCGGCCATTAAAGGTGAAGAAGGTCAAGCCCTGCCGGGAAGACAGGTGTCAGAAAGGCCTGGAAGCCTCAGAAGCTGGGGAACTGGGCGCCTCAAGAAGTCGCTGAACTGACGCCAGGGTTTAGGAAAGAGGCAGAGGAAGACAGACGGCCTGCCCGTCGAGAGGGCCCTGCACGCCAGGTGACAGGGAGGGCCCCGGGGGGCTCAGGCCTCATCTACAGGTTTTGTTAGGTGGAAGGGAAATAATGGCTCGTTTTTATGTGTATAAACTATCGTGAAGCTTTAAAAAGTAGTACCTAAAGAATTCATGTCCATTTAAAGCTACTTAGTAATTTCTCCCTTTCCAATTGTACTCGAATAGCTAAAAGATAAAACTGAAATATATTTATGAAGAGACAAAACCACAAAGTAATTTAACTTACAAACTCAGCTCTTTTTTTTATATCAGTCAGCAAATATATCAAAGATATATGCCTGTTACATAAGTGTCCCCAAAGAGTTCATAAAATAAAAAGTAAATGTACTTTTAATAAATTAGAATACAGGGTAATCTGTAAATATAATGCCTCAAACAAATAAATGTATTTTATACACAATAAAGAAATATAACATTTTCCTTAAAAACTATTTCTTTTGAAAATAAATTTTTTAAATTGTCCAAATACACTTCAGTATTTTTTTTTTAATTCGGCTTCTATTCATTTCAAGACTGAGTTAAAAGAAAAACATAAAGGAGCACAGAATGAAACACCACCCAGGCCCCCAGGGAGCCGGAAGCAAAACAGAAGGAGAAAAGTCAGTCACGAAAAGGAAGCGCAGACAGCCTGATACGTTTTAGTAAGATTTGATCAGTAATCTGGGAAAATACTCTATGATGGCACTACAGTGGGAATTTGCCTTTCAAAATATTAGCAAGAACAGTCAGTCACTGAAATCTTGTACCCCAATCTGTTCAACTGATAATTTAAATCATTTAAGAAAGTTTTCTCTTCAATTCACTTCCCTCAAATCTGAATGAAATTTTTTACAAATTTAAAAGGAAAATGAAAAGAAAAATGTAGCTTATAAAGATTAGTTGAGTACTTAAATGTGGCAAAATTCAGGTGAAGTGGAACTTTTGGCTTTTCCCCTATGAACTTGAAATCAATCCCTTTAAAAAAAAATTTAACAACTAAAATTAATCATTAATTTTGTCTTTGAAACTCATTTTTGTTTTAACTGATGTTCAATAATTTGAGTATGAATATACTTACTGTAGTATGAATGACTGGTTTTCAGTCTTTTAAAGAATGAGACCCTCTAACTGTTAATAATTTTTTAAGATTCCTCATGTCAGATATGCATATATGTACGAGTTCTATGATGCTTTCTACTGATGCAGAAATATACACAGTATTTCTAAAAGATTATCATGCAAATTAGACATATGTATCTATACAGCTGATCTGCCTATACATTTAAGGACTCGTACTAATAACTCAGTAACTCCTCAGAAGTATAAGAACCACAGGATGCGAACCACTGACTTGGAGTTGATTTAGAAAGGACGTTTATTAGAGCTTCCTAATTTATGACAGGGTTTACACACCTGAAAGATAGACAGGGATGGTACAGAAATTCTCATTTTACAAAGAAAGATAGACGTCTAGAGACACTAAGGGAAGAGGTCATGGTAACACAGCTTAATAATGGCAGGACTTCCTATTAGATAGAAGGTCATATTACTTAATAATACTAACTCAATGTTTTTCATCCATTACAACTTACCTCACGATGGAAGGGCAGTGTAATGATTTTCATAAAATCAGACTAAACACTTAACCAATATTTCAGGGAGAGAAACAAATATATTTTGACATACCTTTTCGGACCATCTAAAAAGGTGAAATGGTGGCTACAATTCTATATAATAATCATTTTAAGGGTACTAAAGAGAAAAGAAATGACACTAGCTAGGATATGCTAAACAGAGAAGCCCACTTAGAAAAGTGTTATGTATTAGGAAGACAGTATACAAATATCACAGAATTTTCAAGTTCTAATATTTTAAAACTTTCATTTTGTACCTGTCACTTCTAAACACATTAATAAACAAAATGCTAAATTCTTAATGATCTTAATATGTGTGGTAGTTAATTTAAAATGCACTAATACAACTCATTAATTAATTAAGAGATAAGTACTCAAATTTTAGAACAAAAAAGCTGATAATGCAAAAGAATGTGGGAAATATTAACTAAAGGCTGCTAAAAGAACCAAAACCAAAAGTCAAGAAACTGGAGAGGGGACACAGTGTAGAAGACCTTTATGATACTTTTTTAAGGTGTGATAAAATGTTTCTTTTTCTGCCCCATTCCAAAGAAACATAAAAAAGCAAATTAAAATAGCGATGAAATGAAGCGCTTACAGGTTTGTATCTCAGGGCATCTCTGTAGGACCCAAACAAAGCGGCCTGCGCCCTAAGAAAGGCCCTAGCCACTCCGTCCCCAGTAGCGGTGGCCTGCTTCTTCAGTTTGCTTTTCAGGGCCGAGACCTGCAGGACAGAGAGGAACAGTTAAATTAACACCTCAGAAATTGGTGCAGCGAGGTACGAACCCGATCAGCAGGCAGACCACAGAGCCGGCAGGTCGGCCAAAAACCCATCCTCCTCCCTGACAGCTTATCTTCGTAACTGCGGAGAGCACCTGCTGGTCTGCTAATTGAAACGAAAGCAGGAGCTGATAGTAAGGTGCTAATGCAAATTGGTTTATGCTCTTTTTTTCCCAAGGCCTCTTGACATAAATAGCTTTAATTATTTTACAGTAAACTGCTTGTGAGCCACTTTTCTGCAGATTTTTAGCAATTACAGCAAGAGTCTACTTGTTTTGAGATGAAACCGGTTGAGTATCGTTCATTTCTGCTATGTAAGGTTATTTGTTACAGGTCCTCCGGGATCACTTACTATTTAATTTTATTTTTGGAAGCCTCATTTGTATATGTAATTTTCTAGTCATCTATTGAAAAGTTTTCACCATTATTAGATTAAAATGGGGGAAAGAAGTTAAAGTTTTGAGACCCAACCATGCATGTGTAGAGAATTGTGTTATGCAAATGTTATACACTTAATCTTCACATTCTTCTAAAAAAGGTATTCCTCTTACTGGTTGTGAGTGATGAAACAGGGACTCAAAGATGTGAATCAATCTGCCCTCACTATACAGCCAATAAGCAGCAAAACTGAGATTTAAACCCAGCTCTGTCCAATTTTTCTACCACCACATGCCAGGGTTAAGTCCAGTGTCACCGCCCTATGAACCAGTAACCAGAATAAACATTAATGTTTTTAAGTCGAAGAAAACATTATCTAGGAATTCACATAATTTTAAAAAGCACCTGAATCTGTTAACAGTTTTCCATGCCTTTCCATCCTTTACTTTCAGGCTCTGCATGTTTCAGAGTGCGTATCACTCAGGCCCAGCCCTCACGCAGGTGCGCGTCTGCAGTGCGATCGTAACTCCTGCTGTTTGCTCCTCTTCAGGGAGGGATGTGATGTTTCTATCCATCCGATTCACTTGGCCAATTCCTTTCACACATGATAGAAAACTACACTCCTTACAATCACAACACAGGCTTTCTTCATCGGTGCTTTTTACATGGGAACATGTGGCCATGTTAAAATTCTATTCTAAGAAAATGACCTCATGGGGCAAACTGACCGGTTGCTCCTTTAAAAGAACATGTTCTTATCCTTACAAAATGACCAGATAACAAAATAATACTTCTTCTTTACATATATATGCAAGAAGGAATACTTTTCTTTCTTTTTGCAATGACTACTCTTGTAGATAGATGATGACTGTGACTGAAGTGTCAACCTAATTAACAACTAAACTATGAATAATGCTAATGAGAAATGAACACGGCATCAGAGGAAAGACTGGCTCCACAGGTGACAAACCTTCACAGCAGTGACATTTTCCAGGGTAAAGTCATAGTTACTGTGACCTGATCAAAGAGAGGACCCCCATCGGGTCCAATTATGACCACAGTTTTGAAAAAATTATTGAGTTATGATGTTCATAATCTATGCAGAAAGGCCTTTCCAGGGAAGGTCGTCTCCCCATAGCTGTGATCTTTTCAATTTATATCCAAGCTCCATAAAGTCAGATAAAAGTTTAGAGCCCAATACATTTAGCACCCAAAGTGCATAAACCAGAATTCATTTAAGAAGTTTTTATTGTTAAAATCTAACCTCAAAAAATGAACATTTTTAGATAACCCAATATTCGAACACTAAATATAGCTGAAGGATGCAAAAACAAACCTTCTGATTTAATATTCTTACTTTAGAAAATAAAAAGCATGTTTAAAAATGTCATGCCTTAAACTTTGCAAAAGAAAATTCCTCCACGTATTTTTCTATAAAAAATAAAATTGAAATTCAGTTCTCCACAAATCAAGTATTAGGATACATAGCCTTTTTACCCCAAGTTCTGACTGCAATGTGACTAGTGCAAACAGATCTGCCGTAAGAGTAAAAGAGACACTGGATTTTGAAGACTTAGTACCCAAAAAAGGCAATATCTCAATCATTTTTACATTGACTGCATGATAAAATAATATTTTGAATTTACTGGGTTAAATAAAATACATTATTAAAGTTAATTTCACCTTTCTTCTTACTTTTTAACATGGCTACCATAAGATTTTAAATTGCATATGTGGCTTGCACTGTATTTCTACTGGACAGCGCTATTCTACAGGAGCACAGTACCTAATTTCATACAGAGATCTAAGACTAAAAAGCTGCCTAGCAAGAAATATGGTTACATTCTTTATTTGCTAATTTCTACATTATTTCAGCCTTTACAAAGTGCATGGAAAGAGCTCTGTCCGGACCTAGTCTAGGCAGGCCTGGACTGTCAGCAGACCCGAGCGTGTCCCTGTTTTTCAGAGGCCAGAAGGCAGCTGCATTCAGTATTTCTGTATGTATAAATGAATGCTCAAAAAAGCTTGTAAAAATGAGATTGCTTTTAAAAGTCAGTTTTAGATATAGGATATCACTCTAGTGTGAAATGACTACGTCAGCCTTGCTGTTTCCCTACCCTCTAGACCACTGGAGTGAATTATCTCCACTTACCACTGTCCTCTGCAGTGCTAATTAGTTTTTACCAGTTTTTAATCTATAAAAAGGGTGATGTCTCTGCTGTACTTTTTCAATACTTGGTCTGGGGAACATTTTGTGCTTTAAGTTCCATGTTCTAATTTTAGTTATGAAATAAATGTACATCTTTTCATGAAATCTTTAAGTTAATATTCACATATAACTGAATTCAGAAAAGCATTTGGAACCTTAGACACATGGGTATTATCACACGTGATACAGAAAAAGTATCAATTATTGTCTTTTTATTTTCAAGTACGTAAAGCAAGCTTCAGTCTCCAATGGCTAGAGTACTTCAAAACTGACATGTTATCATGATGCAGTCTGTAAATAAGTTATCTAAGTCTAATTAGGTATTATACTACACCAAAGAAAGTAGTCAAACAGTAAAAAGCACTTCAGAAATAAGTGAAATGAAAATTTCATTGCTCCTATCAAATGTTTAAATTCGTTTCATACAGTGAGAACGCAGGCCTCTACATGGACATCCACAGGTGAATTATAACCTAGGTTTTAGTACAGTGGGAGTTCACTGCAGCATAATATTACTACCAGTTCTTTCCTATACCCCTTAGCACTAAATTTACTATGAATAAAAGGAGGTTTTTAAGTGAGCAAACATGGCAAACAGGTATGAATTTAAAGAGTGTAGGCCACGTACACACAGTCTGAGTAATGAGGTAATTATGCCAACCAGGAGTCAGAAAGGGAAAGCATACAAAGGTGCTGAGTTTTTCAGAGAAGTTACAGATTTTTCCCTTACTTGACTTTTAGATGCATTTTTTCAGGGAAAATGAATTAGCCAGTAAACCCAGAAACTTTAATTTTACTTTTTAGGATTGCAAAGAGAAACACCAGAGGGTAAAGAACACAGGGTAAAAAGAAATGTTCAGAAATAATATTTAGATAACTTACATAGCCTAAAACATCCCTAAGATGCTTCAAAATTATCTTTTTCGTAACTAACCTGTACTCTAGAAATTACTGTGTAGAAAAGTTAATGCTTCAAATAGTCATCTCCTTTAAGAAAAAGCTACAAAGTCACAATTGTTTATCCCCCCATGAAACATGATTTGGTCATCATTTGGATCAGATATTAAATCACTGCTTGAACTTCTTTAGTCTTTCTAATGTTCAGTTTTTTAAAAAACAAAACTAACCCTTTCCACTTAATTTTCTAACAAGCTTCTATTTAAGGATTTGAAAAGTAACCTTCAAGACGTATTAATGAAAAGCATGATATACTCCCAGAGGGCATCATTACATTGCTGCTTTATAGGTTTAAATTACCTATCAAATCCTAACTAGCTCCTTGTTGTCTACAACTAATTTCCTTTCAGGGGCATTCTACAATTAAGAAAAACAGAACTGCTCTTACCCCCACCTCAAGCCCACTGTCACGCCAGTGTCTCTGATATCAACGTCACTTCCCTTCACGAGTCACAGGTCCTCTGCAACTCTTCACCCTTCTCATCTCCCACATGCACTGTCACCAAGCCAGCCCTATCAGCTCAACCTCTGATGGATTTCAAATCTGTCCACTTCTGTCTAAATCCCTGCCACTATCAAGTTCAAGCAGCTATCATCTCTCGTGTGACTCCTGTAAAGGGTCTCTCAACTATCTCCCTGTTTTCTTTCTTATCCCAGTAATCCTCAGGACCAAAAACCCAAGATGGTATTTTCAGAAGTCAAAGTGCACCACAGTATTCCTCTGCTAAAATTCTCCATCAAATTTCCAATAAAGTCTAAGGTCCTTAACAAGAACTGCAGATCTTTTATGACCTCCCTTCTGTCTTCCTCAGCAATCTCATTTTGCACCGCTCTTCTTCCGTTCTCCTTGCAGCTAGACAGGTCTTGTCTCCACCTCTTGAATCTGCCAACCTCTTCCCACTGCAGAACCTCTGTCCCTGCCCCTCCTCCTCCTCCCACACTGCGCGGCTTACACACATTCAAGCCGATTCTGAACGGCAAGGAGGTGTATCCACACTGAGTTTGGCAGGGCCACCAAAGGCTGGTGTAAGTTCACAGAATGGTCAGCTTGACTGAAATCACTTTCACTTCAGCTTACGGACAGTCCACCAGCACCTGCCCTCCTCTCTTTGGTAATACAGAGCCCCCAGTTTTGACTGTTGCTGGGTTAACCCAGTAATTCCCAACATCCCTTGTGACTTGGTGGGGCCATGTGACCGGGATCAGACGACTGGAGGGTGCATTCCTCAAGCCTTCCTGTTCACTCGCCTCCTAGTGCAACACAGGCATACAGCAGGTGCTCGATACATATTCGTCCAACTAATGAATGATGTACAAATTAACAACCCGCCCCAGACACACTTCTACATTAGTTTATCTAGTTTATCTGATCGGAATATCTGTGATGGGGCCCAGAAATG